ATTTGAAGATTTAATCGATTAAAAGGTCAAAATAGACAAAAATGATTGACTTGAAGATTTAATCGATTAAATCTTCAAGTTAATCGATTAAACCTTTATATCAACTTGTCACAACAACCTAACATTCCTTTTAGAATTCGATGATTTCCAGGAGTATCATTGCTTTTCTTCCTTCTTCCCCTATAAATAGTGAATTTGAATTAATGTTTGATCTGATAAATGAACCTTCACTACAGGTTTCCTCCATCTGCTGCTACTGTTAGTTCGTCGCTTCTCTTGGGTATATGTGGCCTTCCAGACACCATTTTTAGGGTCAGCCCTTTCATCTTTCAAAACTTAAAATGTATATTTTTTGTCTGATTCTAAGTGATTCAGTGAGTGAGTTGCATCATTTTTTTTTTCTTTTTTTTGTAGGATGCTGTGGAAATGGCTTTGGGTGATTCTGAGTGTTACCACCTTGAAAATCCTAACGCAAGATTGACGTGTTTCTTTAACAAGGTATTTCTTTTTGCTCATAGTTCATTACATTACATCCAAACAAAACCAATTGATCATGTAAGACTAGTTGAAGCTGTGAATCCTTGTCCTTTTTTTTTTGTAATTGTTAAAGAAGCATACAGAAATCATTTAAGTGGAATATGCTCATGCGTTTTTGTTGTAAATCTGCTTCTGGATTTCTAAAAGGAATGTTTGGTTTTTGTGACAAGTTGATATGAAGATTTAATAGATTAACTTAATGATTTAATCGATTAAATCTTCAAGTCAATCATTTTTATCTATTTTGACCATTTAAACGATTAAATTTGTAAGTTAATCTATTAAAGAAGGACAAATTGATAGATGGTTCTGAGTAAGGGGCAAAATGATTATTAATTATTTAATGAAGGGCAAAAGGGTCAAAAAGCCATAATAAATTCATAATTAAGTTAAATTATATTGCAGTAATTGACGTTTATTATGAATAATGCTTTTGTTAAAACTCTGATAGTAACAATGAATAAAATTAAAATGTTAACAAATTATTTTTTCAAATCAATATTTGTCAAAAATATATTTCATTTTATTTGTTTGTTCAATTCTATGAAAAGTAATTTTCGTGTACCAAATATGTGTTAAGAGCATATTTCTTGTCTCTTTAATGTAGAATGTAGGTGTGACCAGAAACTTTAATAAGGATGAAGTTCGGTCAGGCAAGTGGTCACGGGCAACTGACAAGTTGGTGGTGAGGTTTGTGGGTTGATTGGCTGCTCAGGTTGGGTTGTAATTGACAATCAGTTTTCATCATATATATATATAGTATTCTATCTTATCCTATTAATTTTTGGTTCTCATCAATTTATATATTTTTCTGTCTTCACAAATTGAGAAACGATAATGGTATTTTTACCTTTTTTTTAAAAAAAAAATTATCAAATAAATGACAAGTTTATTGTATTTAGAATTTATTATAGAAGAGGATCATTTTGTGGTTAAGAATGGCAGGGAAATTGGAATATTCATTGGGTGGGTGCTGAATGGTGAGGCGTGAAGATATGCTTTAGGTGGCTCTTATGTGTAACACATTCGCATTGGCCATCATCACGCCGTCAGTGTCGATTTTTAAAACAAGTTAATAATTGATAAGATTAACTACTCATATAAATTCATATTATTTTATAATAATTTTGAACTTTAATTCTATTTAATTAAAATTTACTCTATAGAATCCTTTTCATTTAAATTTGAAAAACTTAGTATTTTTATTATTTATCAAATGAATTAGTCATCTTTATAATTACATATTATTTAATAATTATTCTTTAATGTTTACCAAACATAATAATTATTATTATTATTAAACGAAAAAAAGGATAGAATAAGAAAAAGTTAAACAAAAAAAATGTTTAATTTTAATTTTTTTTGTCAAAATCAGTATATATCAAAATTAGTTTTCATAAGAATTATATTTTAAAATTTAAAATTTTTAAGCACATTATATTTTAAATCTTACTACTTTACACGTAAAGGTTTAATTTTTAAAAATTTCCAAATAGTGTCGCAGAATTTTTTTTAAACTCTTTTAGGATTCTTTTTTCCTATATCACTAAGTGCACATTATATCAGTTAACATATAGTAAGAAGAGAGATGATACTACTTACAAAATTAAGACAGTGATGAAATAGAGGAAATCAGCAGGAGCAGTTAATAATTTTTCTCTATTAATTTCTTTCAACTTCAAGAAATTGGGTCACCCTAATGTGAATGATGCTCATACCTTTGCCGAAAATGAAAGCAATTCCGATTCAATCATCGATGGGCGAAGGATAATGATTCTTACTCATGATTTTAAATTTGAGTAATAATATATACAATACAAACAGATTTTCGCCTGACTCATTCATTATTTTTATAAACTATTTTTTTGGAAATATTTTAATAATAATAATTAAATGTAAGTTTAAACATCTTAAACAATTAAGATGTTATAATCATTTTACGTATTTATCCAACTATCATTAAAGTTTGAATGCAATCAAATCAGTTCTGTACAAATCTCGTATATTTATACGATTTTGTTAAAAGAACTATGACTTTTTGGAAAAAGTTAATAACCTTAAAATAATGTGACAAAGATATAACTCTTTGCCAATTTACCTAGTTCCTTTTGAGTTTTGTAATTTCTTATTTTTCACTTATTTTATTTTGGGAAAACTTCAAAAACCTCTTACAAATTTTCTCAAAATCACTTATTCCTCTTCGAAATTTTTAATCATTTATCCCCTACTTAAAATTTCTTTATCACTTACCCCCTAATTTGATTTTCCATATAAAATTTTGTTGACAGAGTTAAATTTTTTAAAAAATACCAAAATTATCCTTAATAGAAAAAATATATAATTTCCTCACAAACACAATTTTAGACGAACTCACGGAATGTTTTCTTTAAGGTAGCCTTGTTAGAATTAGTAATTATTAAAATTATTTCCTGCAAATACCTTTGCTATTAAACACCGCACTCATAATCGTTGGTGCCATTGTTCAAATAAAATGATTAAAAAGATATCATCTCAGCAAGTTTAGATCTTCCCTTTTCTATTATAAGCGTTTATGCTATTATATGACTAACAAATCTGACTTTATAAATTTATTCAAAGCTGGACTTTATTTTGCTTGCACAACAATTGAAAAGCTTTACGTTCTGTGTTTCATATATGCCTTACTTTTCTCTTAATCATATGATATTACCAAGCAAACATGCAGAAGTTGATATTTCGTTATTTTATGTCTCGTTGAGAGTAGAGGGAGGATTCAATCGTTGATTTACATTCATGTCTGTCTTACGTGAGTTTGTCTAAAAATGTGTTTGTGAGGAAATTATGTTTTTCTTTGTTCTATTAAGGGTAATTTTGGTACATTTTAAAAAATTCAACTCTGTTTACGAAACTTTGGATGGAAAATCAAATTAGGGGTAAGTGATAAAGAAATTTTAAGTAGGGGATAAATAATTAAAAAAATTGGAGATGGGGTTAAGTGATTTTGAAGAAACTTGTAGGTTTTTTTTTTGAAGTTTTTCTTTTATTTTTGTATTTTACATTTTTGAAAAAACAAATGAAACATAGATTTTATTCCACATAAAGGGCACAAAGCATAACTCTTTTCAATTTGGATATAAATAATTAGAATCTCAGTTTAACAGCAAGTAGATGGTAGTTTTCTAAAACACATAAAATATTTTGGGTATTCAATGTCAAGAATTTTTTTTAAATACGGTAGTACTATGACTTGATCTGCAAGTAGCTGAAACTTTAATCGTAGAGTGGATCTTACTGGAATGTATTTTCTATTATTATCCGACTTTTTCTAAAAAAAGAGGGAGAAATAGTTATAGTCAAATAGAATCCAAAAGCATCGTCAAATATGAGCTAACTCAACTCATGAAGCAAAGTAACTAACCAAGGAGCCTGGTGACTCCAAAATAACTTTAATGGCTGATTTTCAGAAAGTGTGGAAGCATTTCACCTGTCCATAAACGTGTGTGTGTGTGTTTTTTTTTTACATATTAACGAGTTTTAGAATGAAAAAACGAATGTTATTTACATACTTATTTTTTATATTATTTTTAAATAATTAAACGGGAAAAATATGTTTTGACACATACGAGGTGAGGTTTGTCAATTTTTTTCATTAACATTCCTTCCTAATTATTTTAATTTAAACGAACTTTTAAGAACACAATTAACATAATGGGCTTCAGCTACAGTACCTCTAGACCTACTTAATGTAATAGTCTGCCAAATATCTAGGTTTGGCCCTTGTACACGTGGGTCTGCTGTTGCCTGGGCTTGCTGCCTTATATTGGGCCACATCATTATATGGAAAGTTAAAGTTAAGAGTCCAAAACAATGATTCCCCTTTTAGCAAGTCAAGTGATTAATAAAGCAAGTAACAAAGAAAAAACTATAACTGCTTCCGTGTCAATGTATCATTAATTTGGAAATATAGCGGTGGTGTTATACTCTGCTTTCGTGCCACTAATATTACGATGACCCTTTATTTGTGAATAATTGGTCAACAGTAAGATGAAAATGATAATTATTCATTTATGTTATCTACTCCGTTTTTTCCTCACATGCCAAAAAACGAACATATAGTACTTTTCACTTCCTATATATTTTTTCTCTGCTTGTCCTTCCGATTACACTATCACCAAGTTATTGTTATATATCCTTTGGTTCAGGTGCAGGTGTCAGTATCTGCAGCAGCTTCGGAAGTTCACTACCATATAAAAGTAGTTAGTAGATAGAGAAGCTGTTAGAGTGTGTGTTAGTTTGTCATTTCAGTTTTGTTAATTAATTATTGCTGCCAAACCAACTAATCAAAGATGATGGTATTCAAAACAAACAGAAGAAATCCTTGATCAAACAATTTATAGTACAAATCTCTACGAAATATGAAACTAATTATTTGAAAGAAACGGAAAAGATCAGAGAGATAGATCAAGCTACACGAGGTGTAATTTTCATGACCCACCGGTGACGCTTCCATTAAAGATTTCAATGGTGTCGCCCTGACAAACATGGTGCCAGCGGAAAGACTTATCATCATCCATAACAATCTGCTTGTAAATGAAAAAGTAACCTTCTTGTGGAAGATGAAATTGAAGCCTCTGGTGCAACTTCTGCAACTCATTCCTTAACTCTCCCACATTGTCCGAAGCATTCACTTCCACCTGTATCTTCTTTGTCCCGCTCTTAGGCAACACCATCAGCTTCAACTTCTTTGACCCTCCTCCTCCGCAGCTTCCCCCACCGCCGCCGCCACCGGATGAAGCTGTGGGCCATGTTCTAAAACTCACGTCGATCTCGGTGTAATCCGAAATGTTGCAATCTCGCAACAACTGATGATCATGCAGTTCGGTATCTGTTCCATGCAAAAGCAACCTGTTGACTGGCTTGGCTTGCATGCGCTGAATCCTCTCCTTCAGCCTCAGGACGGTGTCGTTTAAGTCCACTTCATGAGAAATGTGCGATGTTGAGGAAGCTGTTGAGACGTTGATCAGGAGGTGAATCTTAGTGGGCGGAGAAAACTCCTCGGTCTTGACCTTGTCAGCGGCAGCGGCGGCGGCATCGTCTGGGGCTACAAGGACCTGAATGCGGGAGTTATGAAAGATTTCGCACTTCCAAATGTCCCCGTCGTCTGGGAGAACTTGGCCATTGAAGATGAGAGTTTGCTTGGAAACTGGAATGCCATGATACTTTTCCACCGTCTCTTTCATCTCCATTACAGTGTCGAAGAAGCCCACTTCAATGGAGAACGACTCCCCTCTTTGCACCTCAAAATTTACATCCATGTTGAATTGATGGAAGACTGAAATGACTACACTGTCTAAAGTTTAAACGAACTAGTTATTTACAAAGTCTACGTCAGTAACAGAATCTCGATATTCCCGATTTCTAACTGATTTTATTTTTATTTTGGAGATTCCGGAAAGTAAACAAATCACTATATTCTCTAACTCCCAAGTCGAAATGACTCGTTCAATTCCATAGAAATTCAAATCTTTGTTTGCTCATTTTTCAATGGTAAACAGGAAATAGAAATTGTTTACCTGTTTACTAATTTTCTATTATTGGTGGTTACTGTAGAGGTGAAAGTGGATTAGATTTCGTTGGACCAAGTATTATCTTGAATTTTTCCTGAATTTTTTTTTTTAATTTGGCCTTATTCAAGCTTGATTATATTTTTTTTAAAAATAACTACATGAATCTAACAAACACGTACATGATTATTCAAGCTTGATTATATTTTTTTAAAAAATAACTACATGAATCTAACAAACACGTACATGATGCTTGTAGTAAGTATAACCTCTCCCAAAAACCTTTTAATATATTCATATACACAATCTAATCTAACATGTTGAGATGTTGGTTTCTACTGCATAAGAAATAAAGTCAAATTTCTATTAAAATATAATCAAATATAATTAAGTTATAAATAATTGCAATTGATTAAATTTATATATTTTATTTTTCTTCAAGGTATACTCATTCTATTTTATTTTATTTAAAATAAATAGTATATAATATAGGTCGGCCTGTAGGCCTATAGGTCAGGCCTTGTGAAAGTGGCCCTACAGCCTTTTTATTAAACAAATTTTTTTCAAGACACAAGTCCGGTCTATTATATAAAATATATTATATCATGTCTGACCTGACGTAAGCCGAGCCGTAGGCCCTATACGTCGGCCCGACCCAATTTCACCAACAGTGCTCTTGCAATTGGTCATACTTACAGAGCAAGAGCTCTTTCAAACTCAACAAAATGCTTAAAGAATCGCACAAAAACAATGTTTGTGAAATATGCAAGTAGAGAATATCAAATGGAGAAAAAAAAAAAAGGTGATCAAAACTTTTTCGGAAAATTTGTACATGTAAAATTAGTACGATTGTTATAACACATGCATCCGTTCTCGGGTTTTTATCATACAAAAGCAGTTTTTCAAAAATATAAAAAAAATATTAAAATAATTAAAAAATAAATTTATTTTATCCAAATAATGTATTTAAATTCGCATTTAAGGGGTGCATTTAAAAACTGCGCATGAAATGAGGGAGCATTTAAGCATTGGATAAATTGGTATTTAACAAATAGAAATTAGTCACGATTATTTTGCCATTATAACTAACTTTCATTCCACATGCTGACTAGTTATGTATGATGTGAGTTCATGACTAATTTTACATGACTTAATAAAAATTAGACACAATTGTATAATCGACGTAATATAACCGCGGCTAATTTATCATAATTCCAAAAAGAGACACAAAGAACAAGAACAATTTCATTCATATATTTCTGTTATGCCCTTCTCAAAGTAAGGGACTAACTATATTAGTGAGTAACCCACACCTTAGGCCACGTTGCTTGCTACAGCAACTACACAATTAGGTAGTGAGGCCATGTTACTTGCTACAACAACTACACAATCAAGTATCATTATCTCGGGTTCACAATATTACACTGGTCCATCTACTTATTAGTACTGAAGTCTTTGACCCACGAAGGAGCTCCAGCTATTCTCCTCTGCTTGGACCTATCAGACACTAAGAAGGTTACGTAAGTTTACAAAAAAAAAAGGTTACGTAAAATCTTTTTTAATTCATTCCTTACGGGGCGCTTGATAGAGTAGTTATTTTTTTTATCAGGAATAAAATTTGTCAGGAACATGGTGAGAAAAATTTATTGTTGGATATGATAAGAAAAGATGTTTCGTTTGCCAAAATTTATTGCCGAGAAAGATAAGAAAAAGTGTGTTGGCTGTGGACAAATTTTTTTACCATATCTTGGATGACAATGTTTTATAAAAATATCATGTGGAAAATATGTTTCCCAGCAAAAAAAATTTGCCATCCAATGTTTTATAAAATTTTACTGCTTACTGTCATGAGAACGCTGATGTCCATTCCTTCTACACGTGGCTAACGAATTATGATGTGGTGTTAGTTTGTATTTAACTAGTTATGTTATATTATACTTTTGGAACTCTGTACGTGATGTTCATTTTCAATTTAATTAGTTATTTTACGATTTTTTTTTTTGAAAAAAAATTGATCTCCATACGTGAGATCATTCCCATTCTAATATTTACAATTGTGATAAGTTACACGAAAATCCAATGTTAATGAGGTATTAAAATATTAAAAATAAATAAATAAGAACCAAGACACACGGTTAAAAGTTGCATCACCTGTCCTATTCCAATTAGGAGCGATAACCGCGTATTAAAGGAAAAAAAAAAAACCATATTTATACTTAAGCTAACCCTCAGGGTTTGTGCTCTACGTTTACATAGGAATACCATGTATTTTATTTAAGGGAAAAAAGTTTCCGATGTTACTTTAGATAACTTTATCTAATGTTCATCAAAACGATGTCGTTTTGGGGTTGAAAAATTTAAAAATTAGAGTGATAAAGACTATTATAACCCTGAAATAAATTAAAATTACAAAAATACCATGATTTCCGTCCTAAAACGACGTCGTTTTGATGAACATTAGATCAAGTTATCTAAAGTAACATCAGAAAAAACAAACCCTTTTATTTAATATAATATAGTTTGTTCGGTCTTGGAGACAGATATGTCTAATCCAATAGATTAGTAAGTTTTTTTTGGATGTAGGTGCTCTCTCTAAGGTATTTATGAGTTAGATATCATTGAGTTTAACAGATCACTATCCACTAAAAGTAAAGAATAGCGTTCGCTAAATGGGTGGTGTAAGAGAGAATAATTATAATTGTAGGATTTATCTCCTATTTATAGAGTTTAACTGTGAGTATTATTGATTCTGGACTCTCTGTGTTTCTTCCGGCCCAAGTCCATATTTAATATTGTCGTATTAGGATTAATATCTTTGATGAATATCCTCATTTAATTATATCAGATTTATATCTGTATAGCCTCTTGTTAGACCTGATAGCAAATGAGCTTCATATATGAATCTATAATATAGTTATATAGAGAAATCATAATTATATAAAAATAAATTAATGATAATAATTTTATAATTACCTATTCTAATATTTTTTTTCTCTTTCTTGGTTACTATTTATATTTCACTATATGGTTATGATTTTTCAACATAACCATGTAATATTCAATCTACTTCTGTATATATATTTTAAGTCGATTTAATCTATGGGTAAGTTTTTGATGTAAAACCCATGGTTCAACATGCGCTTCAGAACTAGTTTCTAGGGCTTTGTTTGATTACTGTTTTTAAAAATAATTTTTTAATTTTCAGAACAAAAAACAAAAAAACTTGTTTGGTAAGACCTGTTTTGTAAAAAAAGTTTTAAAAACTGTAATTATTTTTTTTGTTTTTAGAATCAAATTTAGAGAACATGTCTGAGTTGTTTTTGTTTTTTATTTTAGTTTTTAACTTTAAAACAAAAAAAACACAAAAAATAACTGTTTCAATAATTATTCTACAAAATAATTTTAAGAAAAAAAAACCAAAACACAGGATTTTGATGAAAGCATAGCACTCCGAAAGTGATTTGCTAGCCATCTTTTACTGCTCTTTCCCGAACATACTACGAAACATCTTTTTCATCAAGTCAGCTGATGCTCGATGATAATTTTAGGTTTTTCAAAAAAAATTGATTTTTTTGTTGATGATAATTTTAGAAAAGTTTGCTAGCCATCTTTTCTTGCTCCTTCCTGGAACATACTACGAAACATCCATTTTATCGTGGGAGGGCGTTCCTCTTGATGCTCCCAAGTCTCAAAAAACTAAACGAAACGCACTTAATTTTTTTTATTAATTTAATTCTAGTTAAGGGTATGCAAAAACAAATAAAAATAATACAATTGATCTGGTTTTTAAAATATAATTCATTAATTGAATTGGTTTTTTCTCTCTCTATTCTTTTAGTTATTTATTTTCTGTCTTTTTACCTTTTATTTATTTATTTCTTTATTCTTTTATGCATTTTTCTCTCTTATTTATTTTTCTTTTTAATTTCTAGTATTATTTATATTTTTAAAACTTTAACTTTTTTATTTGGTTTTAGTTCAAAAACCAAGTCTAAACTTGTTTTTAAAAACTAATTCTGAGAAAATTCATAAGTAAGCCATTTTATTTTTCCAAAATATATTTATTATTTTTAATTTAGTTGAGGTCGACAAATAAAATCGAACCGCACTGAATTACACCCCCTTAATTTCAGGAAAGAGATGATAGGTAATTTTTTTTTTATTAATTATGTGATCTTAAAATTTTTTAATATAACTATTTATATAGTTAGTCAATTATGGTTGACTCGGGGTCATCGTTGACGTGTAGTAATGATATTTAGATCTGGCAGAGGCATCAATCAGCAATTCCGAGAGCAAAACCATTTCAAGCATCCTTTCATTTGTGCTATTTCTCAGATCTGAAAATGGTTGATGCGTTGCTTAATACAGTGATTGATAGCATAAAATCTTTGGCACAGGATCAGCTTGCAACGTTTTTGGGTGTTCATCAACATACCCGAAAGCTAACTGGACATCTCACTGCAATCCATGCTGTACTCCAAGATGCTGAGGAAATGAGAATGACAAGCCATGGCCATGCCGTTAAGGTTTGGCTGCAGAAGCTCACTGATGCTGCTCATGTTCTCGACGACATATTGGACCATTGTTCAATCCAGTCCAACAGACAAAATTCACACACAACGTGCTTAACCCCTTTCCATCCTAACAACGTTCTGTTTCGTTGGCATGTTGGTAAGAGGATGAAAGATATCACCCAAAGATTTCATGATATTGATGAAGAAAGGCGCTTGTTTGAATTTCGTGCTGGGAGAGTTGTGGGGACCCAAAGCCAACCTCAAGTTGAAGAATGGCGTCAAACTAGCTCTGCCTTCACTGAACCCAAATTATATGGAAGAGACAAAGACGCAGAGCAGATTGTGGAGTTTCTTCTCAGCCATACCACCAACAACACTGAAGGCCTCTCAATCTATCCCATTGTTGGTTTGGGTGGACTTGGAAAAACAACTCTTGTACAACAGGTCTTCAATGATGAAAGGGTAACCACACATTTTGACTTGAAAATATGGGTTTGTATTTCTGATGATTTCAGTATCAACAGAATTATGCTATCTATCATAGAATCTATCACCGGAAAAAACCCCAACCTCTTGACTTTAGAAGCACTGCAAAAAGAAGTTCGAGAACTGTTGCAGAGCAAAAGATATTTACTTGTTTTGGACGATGTGTGGAATGAAGACCAAGACAAATGGAACAAGTTGAAGGAGTATATGTTGCAGTGTGCAAGGGGAGCAAAAGGTGCTTCAATTTTGGTCACTACTCGACTTGAGAATGTTGCCAACATCGTGAGAACAGTCTCTGTTCATTACTTGTCATCTTTATCAGAGGATGACAATTGGTCATTGTTCCAACATCATGCATTTGGACCAGATAAGGAAGGGCCTGCAGAGCTTGTATCAATAGGCAAGGAAATTGCGAAAAAATGTGCCGGTTTGCCTCTTGCAGCCAAAGCACTGGGAGGCCTTTTGCATTTTAAAAGTCAGAAAAGTCAATGGCTTAGTGTAAAGGAGAAAATACCCCATGATAATATCATCATGGCTGTTTTGCAACTGAGCTACTTTAATTTGAAGTTATCATTGAGGAGATGCTTTTCTTTTTGTGCCATCTTCCCCAAAGATAAAAAAATCTCGAAGGAAGATCTAATTCATCTCTGGATGGCAAATGGATTTATTTCATCGAGAGGAAGTTTGGAGGTGGAGGATGTTGGTTATGAGGCGTGGAATGAATTGTACCAGAGATCATTTTTCCAAGATGTCCAGATTGATGCATTCAGTCAAATTACAAGTTTCAAGATGCATGATCTCGTTCATGATCTTGCCCAGTCTATTATGGGTGAGGAATGTGTGGTTTGTGAGCCTGCAATGTTGACCAAATTGTCAAGTAGAGTCCACCATATAAGTTGCTTAAAATCTGATGATGATAAGCATCCACGATTCAAGTTGAACATGGGTGCCTTCAAGAAATTTGAATCATTGCGGACTTTTCTTCAGTCTAAATATCCATCATCGCCAAATGCCTGGGTGTTGCCATCAGTCCATTCTCTCCGAGCATTATCTACAAGCTCTTCTCAACTCTCGGCACTCAAGAATTTAATACATTTAAGGTATTTGAACATTCATCGCAGTGCCATCTCAACGTTGCCTAATTCTATTTGCGAATTACAGAAATTGCAAATATTGAAACTGAAAAATTGCCGAAAGCTTTCTTGTTTGTCCAAAGACTTGACACGATTACAAGAACTCAGACATCTTGTGATTGAAGGCTGTGATTCATTAGTAGCGATGCCTCCCAATATGGGGAAGTTAAGCTGTCTGAGAACATTGAGCACTTTCATTGTGGGTTCGAAGGTAGGGTTTGGCTTAGATGAGTTACATGGCTTACAACTGGGAGGCGAGCTACATATCAGAGGTCTTGAGAATGTCTCCAATGAATGGGATGCTAAAGAAGCCATTTTGATTGATAAAAATGACCTAAATCACTTATCTTTGCAATGGGGTAGCAATAATGCTAATTCAGAGGGTACCATTAATGCTGAGCACGAGAGAGTACTTGAAGCCCTTCAGCCTCCCTCAAATCTCAAGAGTTTTAAGATGAGGGCATACATGGGGGCACAACTGCCCAGTTGGATGAGAAATACCTCATTTCTCGAAGGCTTGGTTGATGTTACACTCTTCGACTGCAACAACTGTCAGCGGCTTCCTCCATTTGGTAAATTCCCGCATTTAAAATCTCTTTACCTATATGGAATGAAAGATTTGAAATACATAGATGATGACTCGTACAATGTTGTGGAGGAGAAGGCTTTTCCATCCTTAAACATACTGAGTTTGTCGAATTTACCAAATGTGGAGAGCCTGATGAGAGATGAAGGAGTAGAGATGTTCCCACGTCTTTCCAAATTGAGAATTTCGGAAGTCCCCAACCTTAAATTGCCATGCATTCCTTCTGTTGAGTCCCTTTACTATGGTTCCCTTGCAGACGCGACTTCCTTCCCAGAAGGGATTTTGAGGAATTTGCGTAGTCTTAATACACTGCGTATTAAGGGTTTATACAAACTCAAGGCATTGCCCGACGAACTCGGCAGCCTCAGTGCATTACAACAACTAGACATTTCTTACTGTCCTGAACTTGAGTGTTTTCCAGAGCATGTGTTGCAAGGTCTGACTTCTCTTCGATCTCTGCATATTTGGTTTTGTGAAAAATTGAAATCTTTGTCTGAAGGAGTGGGACACCTAACTTGTCTTGAGAGCCTCGAAATCTTGCGATGTCCAGAGCTGGTGAGTCTACCCAGCAATATGAACCAGCTAATTGCTCTTCGTCGCGTGATGATCAAGGGCAGCACATTACCAGAAGGCTTAGAACGTATCCCCTCCCTACAAAGTTTGTATGTACGGGGAGATCATGGGCTAGTTTCGTTGCCTGACTGGTTGGGAGACATTACTTCTCTTCAAGAACTAGTAATCGTTGGATGTACGGAGTTGAGGTCACTACCAAATAGCTTTCAACACCTCACCAACTTGCATACATTATATATTGAGGGTAGCCCTAACCTGGAGAAGAGGTGCGAGAGGGGAACAGGGGAAGATTGGCAAAACATAGCCACGTCCCACAAATCGAATTCGAAGGACGTCCATCTTCAGAAGATAGCTCATGTTGTGGTAACTTCATTTTTGTAGTATTGCTAATTCTGAGCCCGAGAGAGTAATTGAAGCCCCTGAGCCTCCCTCAAATCTCAAGAGTTTTGGGATGGAGGGATACATGGGAATACAATTGCCAAGTTGGATGAGAAATACCTCATTTTTCGCAGGCTTAGTTGATGTTAAACTCTCCAAATGCAAAAATTGTCAGCGGCTTCCTCCACTTGGTAAATTCCCACATTTAAAAACTCTCTTTGTATCGAGAATCCAAGATGTGATGTACATGGATGATGATTTGTATGATGGTGTGGGGGAGAAGGCTTTTCCATCCTTAAAAAAACTCACTTTGCGGCAGTTGCCAAATTTGGAGAGGATGATGAGAGATGAAGGAGTAGAGATGCTCCCACGTCTTTGCGAATTAAGAATTTCTGGCGTTCCCAAGTTTAAATCGCCATGGTTTCCATCTGTTGAGCACCCTTATGCTGATGACATTGGAGACGTTGCACGTGAGCTATGTTTTGTGGTAATTTATTAATGTTTTCTTTCTTTTTCTGTTTCCCTTAATGTGTACCTTACATGTTATGTTATATTCAGTCTTTTGCACAGTGTGTATGGTGATATTTAATGTATTTGACCATTATGTGCAGAGGGTATCCAATTGGCATGGAAGAAGATCTGTAAGTTAAAGGATACAGCTTGCGATAAACGCATGTAGGCAAAACTCATGTCTGCTCCTGTCATCGCCATGTGTTTCAAGAATCCTATGCTATATGCCAAAAAATGGTGAGCACTGCGTAGCATATCTCTTTTTTCTCAAAAATCAATGTAAAAATGGTGTATTGAAAAGCAGAATTCTATACTTGGACATGATAAAGGTATAGCAAAGCAGATTTCTAAATTTCTTCCCGTTATTCATGTGATGAACCAATAAAATTTTCCTTCATTTTTCGTTGGTTTCAAACAATCGCCTGTTATTCTGTGTGGCTGTGACATAACATTTTTTCTTCTCAAAAAATCTATAGAATCACTTAACTGAAGAGATGGTGTATTGAAATGTTTATTTTTCTTGTTTCATTATCTAACAATACAATGTAAAAATGATGCGAAAAATATTATGGCTTGAAAACCCAATTCCTTCGATTCTTATCACACCAAGAGGGGCACAAGTTGAGCCATCAGATATAGACTTATTAAGGACACAAACATAACAGCTGTAGAACAAAAAATTGTTCTGATGCACTGTTGATGGAAAACAGATTAAGAGGGGAGGGGTTTATGAGAAAAAGATAGGGCGAAACCTTGTGCGACACAAGTTTTGATGGACTAAGAGAAGTACTGCTAACCAGTGCTACAAAATTATGCACATAGAAATGGTAATGGAGCTGAGAGAAACAACAATTTTGGCTCGAGAATGAAGCTAAAACCGGGGCTTACATTTCATGCCATAGTCCATAGATCAACTCATTAGGTTATATGGCTCGTTGTTATTCCAACAACACAACAAATACAGAGCAACAGTTTCACTTGCAATCATCCACTCCATCTATAACAACTTCCGTCACTATCTTAAGATAAACACAATCTGTATAATACGACATTGAATTATAAATGATCTTAGAGAATTAATCTAATTATAAATGATCTTAGAGAATTAAAAGTACCCAATATCAATACAAAACGTCGTATTATTCTCTTGTAAGGAATTCCAATTCATGTATAAATAGCATATCATATGCTTTCTGTGGGATTTTAAACTTACAGTTCTTCACTTGGATATTGCACAACAAAAAATTAGATAAACGAGAAAGGTACCTGATACATTTGATGCCATATAAAGAAAGAATATATCTATATGAATAATTTCTATATAACTTAACAAAATCAGATTATTGAGTTACCAATTCTTCATTTGATAAATTTGAGCTTGACTGATTCCTGGCTTCTATATTATAGAATGAATAGTCAATCTTTGTTGAGAGTGGCTCTGAATTCGTTTCTCTTAGCTTCTACTTCTGGAATTACGATTCTAGCCACCCCCCCTCATCACCGCACAGGCTCTAGAGTTTGTCATCTTGAACCTTTGTTGGATGACTGCCATAGCTTTTTCTGGCATATCAATATCTTCTCTTTCTCAACGCCATATTCAGTGTTTTCTTTACGACATGCCCATCGCATACCCTTGGCAATAGTTGCAATGGCATCCACAAAATAACTAGACTCTCGAATGATAGCATGGCCACCAGGCCTTAAAATTCGGTCCATTTCCAACAACACATACTTCATTTCACATCTGCAATGTAACAACCATTGTCAGAGCAATCCGGGAATATATTCTAAAATTAAAATTTAAAGCAAGTAAATATTATTTATGTGACTAAACTAATACCAAACTAGAAAGCATATTCATGACACATGAGAGTAAATGAGTTGACATACCTTTGGCTCTCCGCAGTGAAGAGTCCATCGAGATGAAGAAGGTCATAAGTTCGAGGATATGTTGAAAAAGCTTCACACCTACCAAATAATAAAATTCAAATCAAATACCGTACCATATGATATGAGACAAATACATACACATTCATAAAAATACAGAACCTTATGGTTCATATTTAAAATTTCAAAAATTACCAGTCATGGAAGGTTCCAATGAGGCCTCGATCATATACCACGGGGAGTGTATTGGGACCATAAGATGAGACTACATTCATGACCCACAAGGGATCATTGATCAAGGACGCAGCAAAACCTCCATATAATGTGTTCATGTCCATCACATTTCTTATCTTCTCAGTCCCAAGTTCAGGCAGCAACTTCTTGTAGTGCTGAACGCGCTTTTTCCACTTACCATTATCATGACCGAAAGCACTAGTACTCGTACCATGAACCGATGTAATCCGTTCAGGGGTAGCATGTAAACGTTCAGGCCACTTAGACATGTATGTGAGAGCTGATTTCTTATACTTAGGATCTGGAACCACAAAGCAAGCACGAAGTGGAGTGTACCATGCTGAATCTGGTTCAAGGCTGTCATCACACTTTGGTGGATAGGTATCTCTGGCGAGTTTATCATAGCAATTGTTATCTTTAGCCTTCTGCCATACAGCAATGTCATCCTTTTTGTTATACAATTTAAAGCACATTGAGGTGAGCAAGTCCTGCAACTTTTCGTAGTCTGATCTTTGTTCTTCGATGGTTGTGTTCCATCCACGCCACCTACGCTCATAGTTTACTGGTGGACCAGACAAAACCCAAAATCCTCCGGGGCGAAGAATACGGTGTATTTCAAGGAGATAAATTCCACCTAAAAGCAATATCCTCATTGGTTAATGAATGAATTTAGAGTGAACTTCTCAGCTCTAAGAAGAAAGAGATCAACAGAAAGCTGTTAACTAGTCATCTAAGCAGCAAAAGTATAACGCAATTGTACTTATCAGTGCGTATTGTATTCCGTCTTATCAATGATCACTTATCAGGCTTGGGAAAAATAACTCATAAACAGTGCTTTATTATAAGCTAATAAGAACGAATCACATGTCCTTTGCAACATGTGTGAAACACAAAAGTTTGAGCAGCTTCATGTTGGTAAAGTTCATGACGAAGTTTCAAAATCTATTGAAGAATTACCAAATTCTGTCCATGGGATAAGGCATCTAGAGCAATGAGCCATATCAAAGGAGTTTGATGGGAAAGGAAGTCTCTGAGTAGAAATGACGCCAAGAACTGCAGGGATACCACGCTCCAAAGCAAATTGAACCTGAGCTTCATGGTTATCTCTTGGGGCAAGAGAAACTGTAAGAATCCCACGATCCAACAAGTCACCACCCCAGCTAGCAACCTAAAATAAATCAGAGTTATGTTGGATTAATCGATGCAACTCCTTTATCCATCACATTATTGAAATTTGTAACTGAAATTAATGAGTATTAACTATTAAAATATATTCACATGGCAGTCAGAAACCAGCAGGTGTAGATGAACTAGTAATTGATGCATAAGAAGTGTTGAGAATTGCAATGTGCATTGCCATTGGCTTAGATAAATGCCAAAGAAAAATGAAGATACAAGTAAAACTCACCCCACAACCAGTATCAATGGCAGTTCGCACAGTCCCATCTTTCATTTCTGGGATCAGGTCTTGCATTAAATCAACATATTCACCAACACCATTGGGGAACATAGTACCCCCACCTGGAAAGAGGAATTTCTCCCCTTCCTTTAACAACCAATGCTGATTAGACTTCTGCTTGTTAATCCAATCATATGGCACATTCCTGACATTAGATGTACCAGAAAAGTTGAAAAAGTGAACAACATAGAAATCAGTTGCAAGCAACTTAAATTAATCCAACCTTTTGTTGCTTAACTTAAATAAAGTATATATATTATACCTGTACCAACATTCATCTCTACTCTTTGGCCATCTGATTGGAGGTTTGTATCCATCTGGGGGAGGAACTAAGCATTCTTTCTTCTCAAAAATTGGAGGGCAATGGCGTTCCAACAAAGTAAGCCTATAGGTGCCATACTTTCTCCATCTCTGTAAAATTATGCATGCTCAATCAACAACAAAACACTCTTCTACAAAATCTTACTGCATCAGTAAATGGACTATTGTTAATACCTTCGGATCTGTGCATGGGGTGTAGTCCTGATAATCAATGCCGCATTCAGGGAAACTGATGGGCTTAATTTGCAGAGAACCTGAAGATTGCTTAGTAGGTCCAAGAGTCTTCTGAATGGTATTGATGACAACCCCATTCTTCCCAGAATGAAATATTCCACCCAGATAGAAAGAAAGACCACATAGAGCAATAACCGTGAATCCCAAAGTGAGAGCCCTGTTATTGTTTGGCAGGTTGATCGGTTTTCCGTCTTTATGCTTCATGGTCCAAGAAATATTCCACTAACTATCTGCAGAAACGCAAACATACTAAACTTCAGTGCACTGCAACTATGCCACTTCCTCCATCAACTCATGTATACATTTTTTATTTCTTAAAAAAAAAAGTGTGTCAGGAATCATCATTCTTCAATCATAGGTAAAGAAAAAGGACACCTGGATCTTACAAAAGCCACTCAAATTACCCCTATAATAAGAATTAGAATCAATAATTATGGCCTCATTCAACTTAACAAAACGAAGGGCCAGCCTGGCTCAGCGGTAAGCTTGCTTACCGTGGTGTTCCAGGTCAGGGGTTCGACTCGGCCCCCCTGCAAAGCAGGGGTGAGACTTGACTCAAATTTCCCTTCTCCAGACACTCACGGAGTGAGTCTTGAACTGGGTCAGCCTTTTTTATTCAACTTAACAAAACCACTTGATCTGAATTACCATACCCTCCCAGTTCAATTTCCACCATCTAACTAAAAGGATAAGGCCACAACAATTCAGATCACACCACTGGCAAAAGCAACGAGAACCAAGGAATCAATAACCAATAAAATATAAAAACAAAAAACACAGTTTGATTAATTGTAACTAGAACACGCACAACAATATTGACAACTAGCACAGGACTCCCAACCAGATCAACCTGACATAAAAGACACAAATTCCCATGACAGATTCAATTTTGGGAAAATAAAAAAAAATGGCAAAGAGGAAAAGGAGATTGATGATTAAATTCCAGCTGGTTAATACTCAACATGGACCACTAAAACGACATGAGCCAAGGTAAAGTGTAGATAAATGAAATCTGATACTACCACCGACACTAACTACTTTCCGTTCCGTGTCACATGGTTTTTTACGATGTTCACATGACAATGGGGCCCAACAATAATCTGGTTCCACCGTCCTTGTGAGGACCCCTTCCAACCCTTCTTCACTCACACAAAAAAAGGTAAAAGGAACCACTGGATCTAACACCATGCTGTCCTATATTCCCATACGAGAAAAAGGAAAAGAGCATCGCGTATTGTTAATGTCAACATTTCTTGACATATACGAAAAGTGCTTATGCCACATCAAGCATTTGTCAGTGATTCCCGATCGAATGTGTTTTGTTATGAACCAACACCAATGGCAATGCGAGTGTGAACACCGAAAAGAGCAAAGACAATACCATATAACAACGTTACTCAGAAACACATAATTTACTGATTTCTCATCGAAATGCTTGTGATTCAGAGCATGAAGAAGGAAAACCAGAATTCTTTGATAAAAAAAAAGAAGGATCTTTTTCAGCAATCTTGGAACCCCATCTCGAGTTTGATTCAAAAATTGGAAAAAGATTAAAACTTGGAAGATAACACACGGAATAAGCACTCCACACTCACATCAAGATATAGCGAAAAAAAAAAAAAACAGAGACAACAGAAAATGATGACATTCAAATCCAAAGAGATCTGGCAGAAGATGAAGATAGAAGAGATCAAGTAGAAAAGGTAATGAAAGAAAGAAAGAGAAAGATTGAACGAGAGAGGGTACGTACCCTTGTTCTCTGTTTGTCTCTGACTCTGACTCTGTCTCAGAAAGTGAAGAGGTAAAAGGGGCGTTGATGCCTAAAACATTGATACGGAAAGTGAGCGAGAGAGGAAGAAGAAGTGAAAGGCTAAGGTTGAAGGAACCATCCAATGAGTCAGATTTGTGTGTGAGGCTAAACTAAACTTAGCTCAACCATTTATATAACTATTTGCTCGCCATGTGCCTAGCTGTCCCCTGTCCCCTGTTTTTCTTCAACTTCCTTCCTCCTTCTCTCTTTAATCATGGATTTCACTTAAATCATAAATAACAGACAAAGACAAAGAAAAGAAAAAAAGTAACCATATAATAAAAGTTAATAATTTTTTACCCACAACAATTTTTTTTAAAAAAACTGAACATAATTATTAAAATGATAGAATATTGTAATAATGAATAAGGTTACTACCAATCAATTTAACCGTTAGATCGATTACGAGGATCTAACAATTATATTTATTTTCATCTTTGTACGGTTATGATTCTCCATATTTGATGTTTAGGGTTATGATTTCTCATATTTGATATTTATGATTCCTTATATTTGACGTGAAAACATCAAATAGAAAAAATCATAATCGTACAAAAATAAAAATAAATATAAAATATTAAAGAAGGGGAACCATAATGATACAAAGATGAAAATAAATATAACTGTTAGATCAACATAATCGATTTAACGATGAAATTAATTGATAGTAATATTAGTAGTAACCTTAATTGAAAATATCTTACCCGTTATTAAATGCCATTTGTTTGCAGCTTTTCCTTGTTGACCCTAAATTTTATAAAAACAAAAGAGAGTACCAAAATGAGTTCTATAAAAGGCTCGACTCTTTTATGGTACGGACTCTTTGAGCAGTTCGTATTTTATGAGAATAAGAAAGAAGCTGATTGAGTATCTTTGTTGGATTGTACCTATGGTAGCGGTTAACATATGCAGTCACGAGTAGTATGATTCGTGGAAAACTCTGATAGTCTAGGTGGTGATTTTGATGGCAGCATTATACATGTACATTTAAATGTGTGTGTGTATATGGATATTTTTTGTTCTCACTTCTCAGTGGCTCAAAGAATTGAAGAGCGGTGCTTTTTACTGAAAGGGAAGTGAACTTTATCACTCCATATTAGCACTGGATTGGATGGAAACAAAAGCTTCAGTAACAATATTGCCACTTACTCTTAATTCAATAAAATTATAACGAAAGGGTTCTGTTGTTGTCTTCCAAATCATGTACATGTCATATGTTGCTTTTGCAATTAAATATTTAAGTGTCATCGTTGAGGTGGTATAAAATTGTTCACTTCTCCCTATGTTCCTCAAGAGTTTTTTTTTCTGGATAGTTCATCTGATAAATTTATTTTTAAATGACTTAAGAACATTTGTAAAGGGAATGATTGATTGTGAGATTTAATCTTAAAGTCTTTACATTCATCCACATAAATTTTTTTTGTAACGGAGCTAAATTTAGACCATTTTACTCAAGTGTGGTGGCTAAGTTGGTAGCATGGGACTGAGTGGTAGGAGAGGACTGAGTGGTGAGAGAAGACCTCGGTTCGAATCTCACCAACAAAATCTGAGAAGGGGCATAAGTACCATAATCCTTGGACTCGCACCTGAATTCTAGATTAGTCTCATAGGCGGCTCAAAGAGTGAAATCCGTGAAGATATCGAAGGATTTTAATTCGCCTCAAAGAGGTAATTAGGATCGGTTTCTAAAAAAAAAAAAAATTAGACCATTTTTAATGAAAAGATATTACTTTTTAAATCAATAAATTTAATATTAAAAAGGTTTTGCTATCAAGTATTACTGGTCTTTAGGGGTGGCAATTGGGGTTGACCCACCCCGACCCGCGCCGCCCCGCCACCAACCCGCCAAAAACGGGGCGGGGCGGGTTGACCCGCCAAAAAATATGGGTTGTAAAAATGAACCCACCCCGTTTTATGGTGGGTTGGCGGGTCAACCCACCAACCCGCCAATTAAAAAAAAATTAATTAAAATTCAAAAATAAATTATATTTTATGAATTTTTTTAATATTATTTTATTTTATTTCATACTTCTCTATATTTTTTTTAGTCTCAATCTTAAATGTATACTAATATTTGTCAAACATTCTTTAGGAATTTATAAATAGATAACACTTGTCTTAAATAAAATTGTTATTCTTTATTTTTTCTAGAAAGTACTAAGATAAAAAAAATTGAATATCACAAAAATTTAAATACTAACGAAATACTACCTAATTGTAAAAAAAAAAAAAAAAAAAAAAAAAAAAAAAAAAAAAAAAAAAAAAAATTAAAACCCGGCGGGTTGAACCCGTTTTGACCCACTTCTAGGCGGGGCGAGTTGAGGTGGGTTGGTGGGTTGAAAATCTCAACCCAACCTGTCCCGTTTTGGCGGGTTGGCGGGTTGACCCGCTGGGCTCAACCCATATTGCCACCCCTACTGATCTTGCCTACTTGTTTTATAAGCTACGAAATATATATTACTTTTTCAATCAATAGGTTAGTGGCATTATCACCAAAAATAGGTTAATAACATAGCTAGGTATCCTATTGGGATCTAATTAATCATGATTAATATTTGAATATATAATAAGTAACGGAGAACACAAGAAACATATATGCTTTACATTTTATTTTGCTAGAGCTAGTGTCATTATTAAAATTCGGAAACCTAAGCAATGCTTCATGCTTGTCATGATAACAGACATTACAATCTGTTTGCATTATTTGACAAATTCTGCACTATAGCATAATTAAAAGATGGATAAACTATATTTTTTCTTCAATAATTTTTAATTCAATTTTAGTATATCAAATTTAGTTATTTATCTTCTCAAGTTTTAAAAGGCATAGTTAATTTCCTTGTACACAATAAAAACTAAAAAATGCTAGAATTAATTTTCTGTTTGCCAAAGATATATATATATATATATGTGTGTGTGTGTATTAATCAACTACTAAAAAAGACAAAATAAGCATAAGACTTATTTATTTATGATAGACAAAAGGTTTACCTTCATTATTAATGCATGTTACGTTTGTATATTTTTTTTAACCCAAATTAATTCACATCTTATATTGCATTTTTTGTTAGATGCAATTTGTGGTAAAAGGTAACGACGTCAGAGGAAATTAGTGTGTGGAAATTAGACAAGTGGGGTTTGGAAATCATACAGCATATAAATAGATAAAGGGTCATCACTCATTCGAAGCAAAAATTAGTTTGGATCTATTTGATGGCGAGCCTACAAAAGTTGACACAATCACACAACTAAAGTAGATCTCAAACCAAGTTCACTGCCGACACCAAATTGAAAATTGAAGATGAATTTTTTTATATCAAACAAAACGCTTTTATTTTTATATTAGTTATGCAACAAAAAATTACCAAGCTTTATAAAATACTTAAAGAAATATAATATCTTAATAGTTTCAGATTTTTGAAAGAATTAGTAATTATAATTCATATAATTAAGACAATTTGTGTTTGAGTGATAAGTAAAAAAAGGAAATAGTAACTCAGTATTACGAAATCATCTCGTAGAAGCGAATAAAAATGAGTTGATTCAAACTCGAACAAATCTTTCTATTTCACAATTATTTTGGCTAAAAAATAGAGGAGTTGAAATATTCGTTGAGCATTTCTGTATGTGAAAAAAAAAAGTATTAAACTAAGGATATTTAGGAATCCTATGGATTATTAAACTTTTATAAATGGGAAACAAAAATGAGCACAAACATGATGGATGGATTCAACATATTTCAACTTCAACACTAACAATACCAAATTACCAATGGCCAATAATAGCATAACGAGGATGAAGCAGAACAGTCACGTTGCCACATTTATTAATAAATACATGTCCCTGACGGTGCTGGTTGCTATGCTGCCCATGTCTCCTTTCTCCATTTGTTGAGTTATTAATTCCACTGACATCCATAACAACCTCTTCCTTTTAACATTTCCCTCTTCTTGAGATTTGTAACGTAGATGTGGCTATATTGTATTTTATTCTTCCTTCTTGTACTTTTTGTTTTATGTTCCTCGAAACATTGCTCTTTCCATTATAATTTTGTATTAACAAATCACAAATTGGTAGAAAGAGAGAAATAACAAAGCATAAAAACTATGAAAGAAAAAGAAAAGGAGGGTCTCCTTAATTATTTGACTTTGTTGAATTATTGCCATGTTTCTTCTTGCCATGCACTTCTCCTATTTCAACAGTCAACACCCATCACTTTTTATTTATTTATTTATTATTATTTTTGTGAAATACCTATAAATGCCCCCTCCCAAAAACAAAAATTTATTTTTATAATTATTAATAAAAAATGTAAACTAAAAACAATTTTTTTTTCTTAAACCAATAGCATTCTATTACTGATATAAACTTTTTTAAAAAAATTGAGCATATATAAGGGCTAAATATATGACCTTTCATTTAATGCAAGTTTCAAATATCAAAGTGATCAGATATATGACTACCACTTGTTATCACGCCCCAATGCTACGGTAATAAATATGGTATATATTTAAACGTAAATTATCGAGTATTTATTTATTATTATTTTTATATCTTCTCTCTCTACGAAATCTAATACCGTGTGAAAGATACAACTGTATACAGATAATGGTCGAGTTGTGGTATGCCAAATGGAGAGCTACATGAAAAGCACTACTCTCATAATCTTGACCAATAGTCTCAAGTCCTTGTTAGCTAAGTAAACAATAAATAGTTAACCTTCTGGTCTTGTAGTTAAAATTTGGATTTAAATATTAAAATTTTGATTTTAATGATTTATTTTTGTTAAAATAATTTAGATTTCACTTAAAAATTTTTCTAATATAAAATTCTGATTTAGACATTTACTTAAATTTCGATTTTAAGATTTAAATTCCGATTTTAACTATTAGAATGATATTAAGCAAGTTAGAAAAATGTTTGAATATAACATTGCTGATGTTTCATCCGAAGATGAATGAATTGTGAAAAATGAAGGAACTTTATCTCATAATGAAAGTTTAGATGAAGACAATTTTGAATGATGTAGTTGAAGATCACGTGAAACATAA